CCACAGCCACAGTCTGCCCCTAAGTAAAATGTAGAAACAATTTTTAAGCCATTACATTCACACTATAACAGTAACACTCGGTGCCAAATTTTATTGTTTTTTCTGGGATGGTTTCAAAAATATTTGAAGAAAAAATAACTTTCAAGGGGTCACCCTTAAGAGGCTATCATTTCCTTAAAATGTAAAACATTGCAAGCTAAATTCGAGACCCCCTGTATATAGTTATGTGCTAAAGAAGCTCTAACAAAAAAAATCGGTTAATCTTATTTGTAGTGACGTTTTAAAATAAATTTAAGTTCAAGTACTACTTAATTTATCTCCAATGGGAGAGACAACCAAAAATAAACTAGCAGCAGTCCTAGACCGCAGGAATACTTAAATATTTTTGTTGCTTCTAAAATAAAACGAAATACGTTTTAAAAAAAAACTCAGTTTTATTGCAATCTGTATTTTATGTGTCGTATATGAAAAATAAAAAATAAATAAATAATAATTTTTGCAACAGAAAATCGGGCGCGATTATGGGCAGTCGTACATATTTTCTTACTTATGCTGTTATACTCATATATTTTTTTCCAAAAAATACGACTAGAAAATGATCCAATGTATTTGAAAAGTATCAGCCCAACAATACGAGTAGGTAAATATAAAAATATATTGTAGATATTTCTAATTGAAACTGAAATTTTGCCCAAATACCTTAAATTGTCCTAATAGCTGAATAACTGTTCATTTGAAAATTATGGTTTTCCTTATACGCCTTCTTCAAAATAAAAATTCAAAATTAGGAAAGTTATATTAAGATTTTTTATGTGATCACTTTTTTGCATGATCTACGAAAGTATAAAGATGTTTCGTGAATTGGATGTAATGGATTTAAACAATTGATTTTATAGCGTCTGATAACCGTAACACGAAAATTGTTTTCATGCAATCAGTGTACAACTGCGTAAATATATTCTATTTACATGTTAGAAAACTATATTTATCTAATCAAATTACTGAATTTGATTTAATTTGTTTACGTTTTTATTCACCTTATGAACAATTGTTTTCGCAATAATTCACGTAGATAAATAATGGTAACTGTCGCTTTATTATACAATACAAAAATTGTTGATTATTATCGAAAATAGTTAGGTACTATACAGAGCTCGGTGGTACCGTGGCTTGTAAACATTTATGAAGGCTCTAATATGTATGTACTAAATTTTATTAAATTGAATAACAATAAAAAAATTGTTGTATGAAATATACAAGGTAATTTATAGCTTATGTAGCAAAAATTCAGAGGAAGATAGAACAAAAAAAATGTTGCAAGTTTGATTTATAAAGACTATTAATAGTTTAGAAGTTATAACATTTTGGAGTTAAAAAAATTAATGAAACCATTTTTGGCGACAAATCAGAAACGCCCAAATATATTTGTTTGCATTATATTGATCATGTGCTAAGACCATTAAAGTACACTTTACTTCTATTCTGAACTCTTAGAAATTTTTAAACAAAACTCAACCTCTTTGTCTCCTATGCTAACTGCCGCTATTTTGGTTTCTAATATTCAAATATAATAATGACAACACAACAAGCAATTCAATTATAGGATTATTTTTTATGTAATTTATTAAACAAACTATTAATATTAATAGTACAAATCAAAATATCAAGAACTAGCAAGTACATCAATAAAATTATGTTTCTCGGAATTACATTTTTTACCTTTTAGTTTTCATGATAAGAATACCAAATAAACAAAACGTGAGCGTTCACTTCTATGGGTTCAAATCTGAAAAACATGGAGGCCATACGATAGGACAGCTACATCGTATTTTTTTAATATTGTTTATTTATCCACTGAAATTGAACACACCATAATTATTTTTATCTAACATTATTACTGTGAAAGACTAAAATAATAAATTAATTCAAACTTTTGTTAGGTCTTTATTATTTGATTTATTTTGTAATCTTTAATAAATTGAAGTTGAATTCGAATCTGCAATAAAAAATAGGGGTTCCTATTTAAGATTTCAAAGTTACCCCCTGTCTCACCTACAAGGAGGGAGGGAAAGGGACCAATTTGCTTGAAATAACAGTCAAAATTTATAATATTTCCACTGGCGCTCAACATTACATAATACATAGAAATACACAAACATAAAAAACTAATTATCTTAATTGGAGCATCATATGTATGTACCTGTACTAATTAATTGAAAAAGAGTCGTAAGTTCGTTTAAGACTAAATTCATTGTAATGACATGACGCATTATTTCCATTGTGACGTAATGCTGAAGAAAAAAGAACATTTGCAAACGATTACAACTATTTTCGACAGTTCGTATACGACTATATCTTACTAGTATCGAATATACCCAACCACAAATATCAAAACGTAAATTAATTCGCGGAATTATAAAGATAAGAAAAAAATAATTATCGTTTAAGTGCGGTTTTCGTGGGACGCAATATTTTTCAATATTATTTCCTAAAGAACATAGCTAGTTATTTTTTGGGCTTAGGGTTAAAATATTTTGATTTAATAATGTAAGTATTATACCATAAATAGAATATAATTTATCAATCCCTATTTGACAATAAAATCAATTTCTCTTCCAGTTATTTTTATATAAAATAATGAAATATAGTTAAGAAAATATTTTTCAGCATGATCTAAACAATCATTTCAAAGATTATACCTTTTGATTTTGTTTTATACACAAGCATAATAACGACAAAGTTTTAACGCAAATTCGTCTGGTTAAAATAAACAAAAAACATTACTAGGTAATATATAATTTTTAATATTTCGAGCCTTCAAACATTAAACTTGAAATGCAGTTTTCAGTCAAGATCCATTGAATACATAGACTTTTTGTTGCAGCTGACTTAATCAAAAACTGTATCAGTCTTTCAAAATTCGTAGGAACAAGGTTATGTCGTTTTTTTTTTGTTTGCTTCTGGAGAAGTGGCATAATAAGCAAAATCAATTTAATATAATTTGATATTAGTTCAAATTGTTTTTAAACTACTGAAAGAAATAATCTATCCATGCAATTACAATCCAATCATATTAAAAGCATATATTTAAATTGTAAAAGATGGACGCAATGTACTTTGCGTGTGTAACTTTTTCATCTTTGACTTTTTAACAAATTGGACAGCAAATTCCGTTTTCCCGAACTGTTTTACGTTAAAGAGGTACTCTTGTTTCAAATCGTTATCTTTAACGGTTTCTGAGAAAATCGCTCTTGAATTAATCCCACTTTGGTCAATTTCATAGTAATTTAAAAAAAAAAAAAATTTTTGTTCAATTTTAATCTAATTTTAATAAAAAAATAATAATAAAAAATTAAATTAATAAAAATTAATCCTTTAAATGGAAAAGAGAGGAAAGGAAAATTATCATTATTATTTTTTGTTTAAATTACTATGAAATTGACCAAAGTGGGATTAATTCAAGAGCGATTTTCTCAGAAACCGTTAAAGATAACGATTTGAGACAAGAGTACCTCTTTAACGTAAAACAGTTCGGGAAAACGGAATTTGCTGTCCAATTTGATGAAAAAGTTACACACGCAAAGTACCAAGGGCCCCCCGTACCCACCCCAATGGACCTTGTGGAAATAAATGGATTAGTCCATCAAATTGCTCATCAAAATTTAGCTGTGTATACCAAATTTCATTCATTTATCATAACGCGATTGAGAGATATTGCAAAAAAATTATTTCCATTCCTCCCTCTTCAATGGGTCCCTGTGCCCTTAGGAAGCAATTCCGGACCCATGTTCATATGAACTTTTTACTTAGTTTTGATCATAGAATCGGCCTGTTCAGGGTTGGCAGCTAATTATAAGACACCCTGTATAATGGAACTTTGAAGCATTGTCACAACAATATGTTACTAAGGTAATCAGTAAAATTATTGAAAAAAAATGAAAAAGATGTATTGGAAAAAAATATTATTTATTTCCTCCACCTGTTTATTAAATTAGTAAGGTATGTTTCCACCCATGCAGAGTATTGTCGACATCGATATTTAGCAAAATTTAATAATACAAATATTCCAAATTTGATGCATAAATCTTCTTTCATCATGCTTTCTAGGTGAGATAATTTAATTGATGTATTTTATGTATTAGAGTAAAACACAGAGCAAAGTAAACTATTGTGGTCCAAAATAGAAATTTGTAGCTAATAACTCAAACATTTACCTAACCCCATTATTAATTTCTCTTGTTATGCAGATGTTTCTCTTTGCATATACTACTATGCTGTTCGAAAATTCTTTCAAAAAGAATATAATTTGGCATGTGTTTTTACCACAAATATAAGATGAAACAAGGTAATTAAAATAGTGACATTGTTTCATTAAGACTTACTAAAATTAATCGAATCATTATTATTTCATAATCAACATTTTATAAAATCATCTTCACTAAACTAGAAATTAAAAACAAGTGATTCTTTAGATTTACCCTTCGATATACTAAACCTGGAAGTGTACCGCAAATTTCTATTACGTTGTCTGTTATTATCTTTGAGGTATGCAACAAGTTTAAAGTTTTTTTAGGACACTTAGTAGCCATCTATTTCAGAACATGTAAGAAAACAGAAGGATAATCACAAATACCAGGCAGGCAACGACCAGGCAACGTGCCAGGAAAATTTTATAAATTGATCAGTTTTGTAATGTTTTTAAAGGTAAACAACCACCAAGAACAACTGAATATTATTTCTTTTGTTTAAATAATACCTGTGAAATACTTGTCTTTGCCCAATAAAATGATTTAATTCTAAATCATCATCTCTGCTGCTTTGTAAAATAAATATGATAAACACTGTAACACCGATTGTCTTACCTACCTCAGAAAATTCGAATATCTCTGAGGATAACGAAATAATGGAAACTGAGTTAACAACTATAAACTGATTTTGGTAATTTGAACGAAAATCAAAGAAGCGACACTTGTCAATGGCAATAAAGTTAAGCTTCCTACCTTTAATTTAAGTTGCTTCCGGACCTGGTATCCCCTGAACCCGGCTTGGATCTTGGTGGCTGCTTCGACTTCCATACTCTTGTTATTAACAGTCGCGTTGTTGCGTTTCTCGCTTTCCATGCCCTGTAAATCTGTCGGCGAACTGAGGTCTGAGCTGGATGCATTCGGTAAGGCGTCTTTATCGGGAGTCTGCGCGGGGCGGCTAGCGACGTCGCTGACGTCGGGGATGACAGGAGCTGGCCGCGGTGACGTCAGGGCCTCATCACCTGCTGCATGTCGAAGGGGAACCGTGTTATTATTAGAGAAACTAGGGTTGGGACAATGTGATGATGATGAATGATGGACAAGCGTATGATGTGTTATCCGCAACCTCATTTGAAAAGCATGTTGTTTGTATATTTTCTTAGAAATTTTACTAATTCTATACTTATCCTTTTTTTATGAAATGTTAACAGTCAATGGTCATTGTAAAACGTCATAACTACTATTATTTGTTTTTTATCTTTGGCTTTTCATACAAATATAGCATATAATTGATAGAGAAGAAACTGATGGGAATTTATAAGCAATAAGTATTATCTACCTAGACTTTATTTCGAAATAACATAGAGTAACAAAATCTTATTATGCAGAGTGTTCCTTAATTTGACTGTCAAACTTCTACAGGGCGTTTGCATATTTATTTAGTCATGACAAAAAAAATCTATTTATTTTGCTACCATTTCCTGTTGCCGCCTATCGGTAAACTCATAATTAAAAGCGAAAGTAACTGCCAATTTAAAATAGTGATTATTGATAGTAATTTGTGTCAATACCTATATAATGCGGTTTCGGAGATATAAAATGAAATCACACTTTCAGCGACCATTTTTAAAACACCGTAGCTCCATTATTACAACTAATTCATATGAACTCCTTCTAACATTCGAACGGAATCAAAAAGACACCCTGTATAAAAATACTGAAGATGTTTCGTTTAAAAAATGCATGCTGACTTCATCATTTTGATCTAAAATACCTTAGAGACTCGAAATAAATAATTAAAAGCCATTTTATAATTGATATACAGGGTGTTTCAGAAAGACCTCCTGTAAATACAGGGGGTGATAGTATGACAAAAAATAAGAACTTTTTGTTGTATGAACTATATATTTATCTTCTCTTGTTTTCTAGATACAGAACGACAAAATAAAAATTTTTAAATAGAATTTTTACGAAAATTTCCAAACGGAGTAAAATATTTGTATGTAATTTTGTATTCCGACCTTTTTAAGGATGCCAAATACGCTGGTCTAATTATTTTTTATATATTTCATAAAGGGTAATAGTTATACTACATTCGTATTACACTTTAAGTTCTATTTTTTTAAGGGTAGGTTTTTTTACCATTTGGGCTTCAATTTCTAATGTGCAATTTTATTTTCTAAATGTACTCTTGTTACAACTTCCTAATGTGGACGGTTTTCGAGAAAAAAAGGCATTTAATTGAACTCTAACAATATTACGGTGTATAAAATAAGTAACTTTTCTCAAAGTAAGCTTATGTCAAAATTTATTAATGGGTGTTTTATAAATACATACATACATTCTTAGTAATATTTTAAACTCTAATTAACTATATCAAAATGTTAGTGACTGTAATTAGTCATTACTGACTACAGTCACTAACAATCACTAAAATTCTGATATAAGGTTAATTATAGTTTAATAATTCATCCATCAATAAGTTTTGACATATAATAAGCCTGCTTTTAGAAAAGTCACTTATTTTATACAACGTAATATTGTAAGAGTTTAATTAGAAGCCTTTTTTCTCGAAAACCGTCCACATTAGAAAGTTCTAATAAGGGTACATTATTTTTAGTAAATAAAATTGTACATTAGAAATTGGGGCCCGAATGGTAAAAAACCTAACCTTAAAAAAATTAGAACATAAAATGTAATAGGAATGTAGCATAAGTAACGCCCTCTATGAAATGTGCAAAAAATTATTAGACCAGCGGATTTGGCATCCTTAAAAACCCCAAAATACCAAATTTCATAAAAATATTTCGCACCGTTTGGAAATTTTCGTAAAAACTCTTTCAAAATTTTATTTTGTCACTCTGTATCTCGAAAACAAGAAGAGATATACATACAGTTCATAAGAGAAAAAAATCTTGTTTTTTTTGTCGTACTATCACCCACTCAATTTACAGGAGGTCTTTCTGAAGCACCCGGTATAATAGTTCAAAATTAATACGTGTTATAATCACGCAGATATTGAACAATTTTCCTTAAAATGTACGTAATATACAGGGTGATTCAGTCATAATGTCATTAATTTTAACCACGTATTCGGAAAGCTTAATAAAGACAGAAAATCGGAAAAAAAATTTTTTACTCGACTTTTAAAAATGAAGGAAATCAACCCATAACTCCCGCTACGAGGGCTGCCCTGCCGATGCCCGGATGCTCGGAAAATTTTGTAACGTAATGTCACGAACAGTTGTCGGCTAAAGGAACAGCGTTGCCAAGTTCAGGTTCAAGCTCGCCAGGTTAGTATTTGACATATAACCGACCACTTCGTACACTCGATGCACCTGGGCGACTACAGCTACTACGAAAACAGCCGGTATTTTAGATTTTAAATTAAATTTGTTGATACGATTTTCCTTTGATAAAAGACCGACAACTTTTTGCTACTACACTCGTATTAGTCTAGGGGCTAGGGGCCAGATAGGTTTCCGTAGCCAAACAGAATTCCACGGCTGCAAATAACTTATTTTTAAGTATTTTGACTTCTCGAAACCAAAAAACTTGGTGGCAAAGCCTGAAAGTGGTCAGTTTAATTGTTGTTAACAAATTGAATGTTTAAATGGCTGTAAAAAGTTTATTTTTATAGCTAGTACAATTTTTTATCTGTTAATTATTACGTTTTCTCACAACAAACATATATTTTTTTGAAAATTAAAAAAAGATTAACTTTAACCAAAGTTATTGCAAATTTAGTGCAAATATATTACATTTTCCGTCTCTGCGCGCACCAATTTTACCATATCTCTGGTTCAATTGGACGGATTGAGACGCACATCTCATTTTAAAACTTAAACTTTATTTTACAAGATAGGTAAGTTCCATTGATTAATTAATTTATTTAAAAATTAATGGCAGCTTAGAAAGTTGTGGAATTTCAACGAAAATGTTGGCTTTATTGGTTTATAAAACTTTTTTTGTTATTCAATTTTTATGAAAAGCCAAAAAAGTTACCGGTTATTGTTCCTCGCATCCTAACAATGATTTCATGCCTTGCTTGATTGTTAGAATGCAAAGAACAATATCCGGTAACTTTTTTGGCTTTTCGTCGAAGTTGAATAATAAAAAAAACCTTATAAACAATTAAAACCGGCATTTTCGTTGAAATTTCACAACTTTCTAAGATGCCATTAATTATTAAATAAATTAATAAATAAATGGAACTTAGAACCAGATATGGTAAAATTAGTGCGCACGGAGACGGAAAATGTAAGAAATTTGCACTAAATTTGCAATAACTTTGGTTAAAGTTAATTTTTTTTAATTTCCAAAAAAATACATATTTGTTATGAGAAAACGTAACTATTAGCGAATAAATTGTACTAGCTATAAAAATAAACTTTTTACAGCCATTTAAACATTTAATTTGTTGATAACAATTAAACTGACCACTTTCAGGCTTTGCGACCAAGTTTCTTTGGATTCAAGAGGTCAAATATTTAAGAATAAGTTGTTTGCACATCGGGCTCCTGGACTATATGGTGCACGTGTGCAAATTAAAACTGGGTTAAAAGGTTACTGAACCACAGGTTACCCTAGGTCGGAAACACGACGTACCGAGTTGTTTATTTGTCTCCGTCCCATTGTTTTTTTATGGAATATACAAGTCTCTCTTCTAATTGCAGTCAATATTTAAATACTGCATACAATTTATCCTCTCTTTATAATTTATCTAGTGAGTGTTGGTTTTTTATGACATTATTTCTGTAACGAAATTGAAATGGTTATGAAATGAAATTTAAATTATTTGAACTTTTGGGGTTTTGTAACTTCAATATTAAATCTTATTTAAAGTGAAACAGCTAATTTCTTTGCAGCCATAATAGTCACATTTGGTCAGATGAAACACACTACTACCCGCACACTACTCGTCGGTGGTATAGCTTTCAGAGGAGATTCGGTGTCAATGTCAATGGCGATCGTTTAATTGGGCCGCATTTTCTACCTGAACATCTGAATGGGCCGCGTTACTAATTTTTAGTAGAATTGTTTGAAAACCTTCCCCTTCGGGCTTACAGCAAATGTTGTTAAAATATTAAAATTATGATGCTAATAAAAACTGATTTTTGGCAAGGCATGCTCAGACCTCGAGGTTCTTGCTGGGCAACAATAACAATTTAATATGTTGATTGCATAAATAAAAAATAATTTATAGCATTTTAAATTATTATTGGCTGACGTGAGCAAAACCGTTTATTTATTGTCTTTATATGAGCGAAAATATATAAATATGGCAACGTTGCATCTAGGGCGCGTTGTTCATAGGTTCATATCGTAGCCGTGCATAATATTGTGACGTCAGCCGGTCAGTAACAGCCTGAAAAGGGGGTTAAATAATGATTTGAAAATATTTTTTTTCAGCTTAAATATGCATTTAAATTTTTTTTTAATCACGCCATCATATTATACATCATTTTTCTCTATCTGCTCTTAAAATTAATGACATTATGACTGAATCACCCTGTATAAACGAAAGGACAACATCCCAGTAATATTCCACTACACTAGAGCAGTGCCCTTCTAGTAGTTTTTTTTTTATTTATAAATCTAAGACAATATGAATCTACAGCGAGAAAGTGTACAGCAAAGAAATAATTAGAAATGAAATCTTAACCGGAGCCGTTTTTTTTTTTTGTTAAACCGATTTATTTTATTCAAACTAGTCCAATTTCGACTTAATTTGCCCGGTCTAGCAGCATGTCGGTACAAACCTTTTGGATGACTTCTAATTACACAAAACGCTTTCCTTTCATCGATAAACGCATTTTTTCCGAAAAGGTAAAAGTCGCACGGTGCCAAATTAGACGAATAAGGGGAGTGATTACAGTTAAAATGCGATTTTTAATCAAAAAAGTGTCAATCGATAAGATGGTGCATTATCGCTATATTCTGGACGAATACCAAACGCTTCAAAACAGCAACATAGAATTGTGCATTAACAGTTAGTAATAAATAAAATTGAATAGTTGCAACG